AAGGCCTGCAATGGTTATCTTTAAAATAACCACAAAATCCATTTAAATTATACAACAAAGACTGCGCCTGATGGCAATAAGCAAACAAAGGCTTAGGCATTGCCTTGAGGTCCTGCTCCAGCTCCAGCTCCAGCTCCTGCTTGAGCCCAGTGAAAGTTTCTGGCCAAGTTAATTACACTTAATACGCATGGAGAAAGCATCGTGCGAGCGAGTGTTTGTGTGCGGCTTTGAGCAGGAACCTGTTTGGTTATTCGGTGATTTGTGTTTGTGCTTGGAAAATGTTGAGAGATTCTAAACAGATTGTTGGATACTCCGGTTGAGAGGGTTTTCCAGGGCTTAAATTGATTAAATAATGTACCAAATATTCGTAGATACGGCGGCCTTCAACCCTCAACTCACTTGGACGTGTGACTATTAAATATTTTGGCAAATATTTAAGTCCCATCACCCATCACCAGCCACAGAGAAAGCAGGGGCCTGGGCTCTAGCAGCAGCTGACAAAATTATTCTAATTGCCAGTCAATGGACGGTTGCCTGGCAAAACAAATTTAAAATTCCATCAATTTGGCAAAACAGTCCGAGAACAGGCAGGCAGGCAGCCAGTCCTGAGAGTCCTGTGAGTCCTGGCATCCGAATCAAATTATCCTAAAGACGTTGACATTGTCCGCTCTTTGTGTGGCCCGATCCGAAAGTTTTCCAAGTAGTCCTTTGTTCGTTTCATTTGTTGCAGTCACAGAATTGATTTGTCAAGCAGCCACATTAAAAATTGACAACTAGACAAATACGAGATGAAGCAGGGTCCTGTCCTGGAATACGTGTGGGCCCCCCTCCACCACCCCCCCTCATTTTAGAACAGACTCTGTTGAATGTCAATATTTTATGAGTTTGAATTAATTTTGAAGACATTCTTGCAGCTGGTCGATGCGTATCCAGGCACGTTTCGGGCTCTCTCTTTCTGTCCATTGTGTGTCATCCCAAGTTTTGCAGTTTTTGACATATTTTTCAGAGTTTTGGGCCGCTCGAAGTTCCTTTTTTCTGCCATTAGTTATGCAAATTAATGTGCGTGCATGCGACAGCCCGAAACGAGGCCTAAAGCCGCTCTGTGGCCGAAAAGTTTCAAGTAATTTGATTTCATAAATACATATATGTATTGCGCCCAATAGTTAATCAACTCTCTCGCTCTCTGGCCTAAACACCGACCAAGTTCCTAGAAGATGGAATCCGAATTTTATAACAAACATTAATTTTGGTTAATAACTAACACACACACACCCCCCTCCCCCCTCCCTCCCTTTGGCTCGACATTTTTCACACACTGAGACAGAGAGAGAGAGGAGCTCTGTGTTGGCTGGAAATAACCATACGATAAGCTCAATTTGTGCGCCGCTTTAGTGGGGCATTAGCCATACATAAAGCAGAGATAGACGCCTCCATATTTGTGCGTTGATGTGCGTCGCTTCCGCTTGTAATTGTAGCTACAATGTCACAATCACCACCAGACCATATAAGCGCAGGCAAACAGCAAGAAAGAGACGGAAGACACGGCCACAGCCACCAGGAGGACCATCTCGCACACACACAGAGAGACAGAGAGAGACACACAGACACAGAGACAGAGAGAAAAACAAGGACCAAGGCTGTGGAGTTGGCTTTGTGTGCGCTTTTAAGTGGCTCTGCGTCTTGCCCACTCGGGCGGTACAGTGCCACAAAATTGTATCGACAAGGACACCAAGTACTTTCCCTTGCCAGTCTTTCGCTTCTGGCCCAGTGTGGCGGGCATGGGGAGTCGTCCTTGCTGCTACTTTGTAAGTAGCCACACCAAAGATACTCGACATGCGTCTGTGTGCGTGCGTGTGTGCGTGTGCGTGTGTGTGTGCTCCTCCTTGAATCCTGCATTGCCTTGGCAATATTTACAAGTCACTTGTTTTTATGCCTACATTAATTATGCGCGCCTCTGACTTTGGTTTTTGGTCGGAGACCGGAGACTGGAGCCTGGAGCCTGGTGCTTGTCTTTGATTTTGATGCCGTTGCCACAATTTCAGCTTGGATTTGGTTTGGCTCCCTCTCTCTCTGTCTCTCTCTGTGGTGCTGTCAGCACTGTGGCTACCCCCAACACCCCCCCTCCCACTGGGGCTCATATTTTTTGCCCAGTCTTAGTCGCCTCTGGGCCCGGGCTCAAGGCACTTTCAATAAATTTCGACACTCATGTGGTGCTGGCTGCTTTAAACCTTGCTTTTAATTGCTGGCCGTTTAAAAAGGTCTTTCGCCTGAGGGGCGACTATCTCTGCTCTCCCCTGCTGCTGCTGCTTCTGCTCATAAATGTCAGGTCGAGGTAACAACTGGCTGCATTAACTGACCCAGTTGTGCCTTCCCTTTTGGCACTCGCTCGTCGCTTTTCCTTTTGCGCCTTTTAATGACATTATTGCGCACTGGAACGTATAATGCGACCGTGTGAGCTCTGCTCTGACTCTTCTTTGAGCCGTGCAAGTCATCGCTATGGCTATGGCCTTGCCCCGTAGCTGTGCTCATTTTGGGCAGACACTGCGTATGCGTGATGTGTGTGCGCCAAAGGCCTGGGCTCGACCTTGTGACGCAACGACTTGATTTCTCCAAGACGTAAGACCAAGACCATTGTATTGGAGGCACGCTCCACACTCATACACTTGCACCTGATGAATATTTATATTATTTCTTAAATTTCTCCCTTCGGTGGGGCGCAAGAGGGGCTCTTTTTTTGCGATTTATCTCAATTAATTTCCCTTGAATATTTCGCCTGGCATTTTCCTCAATTTCTATTGGATTTTTCCCCCCCCCCCCCCCCCCCCCCCCCCCCCCCCCTTTTGCATTATTCTGGCCGATGGTCTTACATTTCCAATTCAATCGCGCTGCCTCCTTCCATCAAAAACGGCGGCATAATTTAGTTTTTATTAAATTCTTCAGTTTAATGCGTTTTATTTGGTTTAATTTCCACTTATCCTTTTTTACACTTTTGCCTCTGTTATTATCATAATGCATTTTAATTGTAATTTAACTTAGATTTTAAATTAATAACTAGATTGTTTTTCTGTTTGTTGCTCGTCTGTTGGATTCTCTCTTTTGTTTGTTTTTATTTATTTTTTTTTAAATGTTTGCTGGCCTTTTATGGCTTTTCATACAATATTTTTTTTAAATTTTATTTATTCATATGTGTGTTTTTTTTTTTGCTTTGCTAACAACTAACTTATACTCTCCTCTCCTTGCCACTCCTTTATGTTTTTTTTTTTTTGTTATAGAATATTTAAAATTATTTTTACCAGCAAATTTCTCTGTTGAATATTTCTTTTGTGTGGCTCTGTATGTGTGTGTGTTTTTGTGTCGAGATTTAAACAATTTTTAATGCTTTTTCTAGGCTAAAATTTTCTCGGTTTTTCTCTTCTAAATTTAGTTTTTGTTGCTATATTCCTTTAGGTGCATTCCTTTCTCTTTTGGTGAAAATAAAACTTAAACATTTATGGGTGTGGAGTGAGTGTCCGGGGAGAGTGTAGTGTTTGTCCTTAGATCTAATGATTTATTTATGCAATTTACAATAATATTCCATATTGTGCTTAAATGATTGCTTTCTTCTTCTCCCTCTCCCTCCCACTTTCGTCTGCTATTGCTAATTGTTTTTTCGGATTTTTCGAAATATTCTTATGCTTTATGTACACACTCTTTGTAGAACATTTAAACTGCAATTTTCGATAGTTTCTGCCTCGAAACTACATTTAGATACAAGTCTCAAGGTGTCTTTTGGGAGTTAGCCTATGTTTAGTTAGTTCTTACTTAGTTAGACACGTTTAATTAATCACTAATTTACGATATCTACTGTGGTTGCTACCCGGCAACACTTGTCTCTCTTCGCGGCTCTACCAAAACTCAGGATTGAAGATTTTTCTGGGGGGGGGGGGAGATCTGGGGTTTGGGGGTTGGTGGGGGGGACGGATGTAGCCCAAATTAAAATTTCATAAACTAGAACACACTACAAAGGGAAAACCCCTTGATGCCACTCGCGATTTTCGGGGCGGAACCCTCACACTCGGACTTCCTGGAGCCGGAGCTCGAGTCCTTTGTGGCAACGAGCAGGTGTCGCCATGATGAAAACACATGCCACTTGGCTCTGAAGTGTGCTCCACCGACTTGGAGCTGGGCTGGCAGAGCTGGAGGAGGATGAACAACTCAATCGACAAGCCAACAGACCCGCAAAAAAACACTCACATGTCTCCTCGTAGGCCCAGCTTTCCCTCAACTCTCTCTCTCTGTCTCTGTTTCTATTCTTTATATGGCTTGTGTCGGGGGGGGCCGGGGGGAAAGACGCTGAAAACTTTATATTAAATGAAAAAGTTTTTCAATTACATCAGCGGAAATAAAACGCTGCCGGGCCTGGCACTCGAGGCACGGAGCTGGGAGCTGGAAGCTGGGAGCTGGGAGGCAGGGAGCCGGCAAACAGAAACAAACAATCGGCGACAAGAGCCTTTTGTTTAGCGGCTCGTCTTTGTTTTTCGGCTTTATTAGGTTAGGCCCCTCGACGGGTCCATTGTTCTATACTCTAACCTAATCCGGGTCCCCAATGCCAACCCAATAGAACTGTGAACTCTTCTTTTAGAGACTCGGCAAAAATTGTGGTAAAAATCTTGTCATGGAGTATTCATCCTTCGGTTTGGCTCTTTGGCTTTGGCTTCCCATTTCTAGCTGTGCCAATTATTGGGTTAAACTTGGGTCTGCCTTTTGTTTGCTTCTTTTGCGGGTTTTGTGTTGGCCAAGTCGGATGGGATACACAGAGCCAACAGCCAACAGCCAACAAACAGGAAGGGAAAGCCCGGAAGGACCAACTGAAGTCTTGGCCAGAGTTTTAGGTATATTTGTAGGTAGGTCTGTATATGTGTGGGTGTGTGTGTGTATCTGATCAGCATGCCTATTTACAGAGCCACTGAATCGTCTAAGGCAGCTTCAGCTGGCAGCGGGGCCCCGTTGGGGGGGCCTTGTCATATGTCGCTCGTCTCCTGGCCATCGCCCACATAGCCCTCGTCGGGGCTGTCCGCCAGGGGACCGTTCAACTGCTTCAGCTTCGAGGTGTCCCCCCCGCCGGCACTCTCCTCCGCGGCAGACGCGTCTGGGGGAGCACCGGCCCCGGCCCCGGCCCCAGCCCCGTCCCCGTCCTCGGCGGTCTCCTCCAATCGCGGCGAGATGGCCTCGCTCTCGTCCAGCTCCGGAATAGTGCCAGTCCCTGTGGAGGTCGATGCTGCTGCCGCTGCTGCTGCTGGTGGGGGAGGCGGTGGTGCCTGGGCCTGTGGGGTGGGCGAGATGGCTGCCTGGGTGGGGGACTGGGCGTAGCGGTAGCCGGGCAGACAGCTGGGCCACTGCTGGAACGGGGCCGGCAGCATCGATAGATCGCTCTTATAGCCCTCGGGGGGAGAGGGGAACTGCTGCTGCTGCTGCTGCTGGAGCTGCATCTGCTGCTGCTGCTGCTGCGGATAGCCCTCGGCGGTGAATCGGACATTCGGCATCTGGTACTTCTCATAGCTGACGGGGCCGCGCTGGATGAACTCCGCCTCGAGGCTGTAGCGGAGGCTCGAGTTGGGGGCCGCTGCCCCCTGGAACTGCTGCTGTTTGTGCAGCCGATTGTGCGGCAGTGTTCGGTAAAAGTTTGCGGCCGGCTGGGGTCCTGCTGGCTGCAGCTGCTGCTGCTGCTGCATCTGCTGCTGCTGCTGCTGCTGCTGGGGCGTTTGCTGCACCAAATGGGCGCTGCTGTAGTCGTAGGCGAAGCCATCCTGTCCCAGGAAGCAGACGGGATTCAAGTGGACGTCGACCTGGTGGGGCGCCGGCTGGTGGGTGCCCGCCATCACCGACTTGAGTTGGATGCCCCGCGGCAGCGTGGTCATGGCCTGGGTGAAGCGTCCCATCAGCGGATGGGCGTGCGGGTGCTGGTGGGGATGGGGGTGGGCGGCGGCGGCCAGCTGGTAGCAGCCCTCGTACTGGCCGCAGTCGCTGGACGTCTCGTAGTCCCCGGTGCCGTCCAGCGAAACGGCCGTCTTCAGCTTGTGCTTGACGCTCTCGGCGTCGTTGACCAGATCGGGGTTCTTCTCCTGGTAGTTGCGCAGGGAGGCGGGGGGCGAGCAGTAGGCGGCGGCCAGCCCGTGCCCGTTGCCCAGCAGCAGGGGCGGCGAGCCCGCCCCGCTGCCCATCAGGTTGACGTTCAATTGGAGCTGCTGCTGGCCCTGATTCGGGCCGGCGTACAGCAGGAGGTTCTGCTTCATCTGTCCGCCCAGGATGATGCCCCCGCCAGCCGCCCCGTTGGTGGCCTTCGTGGGGGTCATGGTGTCGCCCAGCAGCATGCCGGCGTTGCCGGTCAAGCTGTCCGCCCCGTCGTTGAGGATCGAGGCGCACTTCATCATGCCCATGCCGGTGTCCTGGTTGCTGCCCGCCGAGGAGTCCGTGCCGCCGGCTATGCTCGTCACCTGGTCGCACTTCTTGCGCTGCTTGGCCGGCTCCGCGGTGCGCTTGCACTTGACCACGATCGTGCAGAGGAGGACCACGAAGATGATCCCGCCCCCGGCGCTGCTGGCCACAATGTAGTTCATGTAGTCGCGCGGAAAGGAGACCTCGTTGACCACCGGCGGCTCCTTGATGATCACCCGCAGCGTGTAGTTGCTGAAGGTGGTGCCGGCTATGTTCTGGCCGACGCACGAGAAGGTGCCGTTGTCCTCGGCCCCCACGTTGTAGATGAAGATCTCGCTGCGCTTCTCCTCGGCCCCGCTGCTGCCGATGCTCTCGTCGATGTAGTAGAACATGTGCAGGTTGTCCATCAGGCTGTCGTTGCTCATCACCTGGCCGTTGAAGAGCCACAGGACCTTCGGCTCCGGAATGGCCCGCACCAGGCACGTGATGGACATGTTGCGGCCCTCGCTCACCTCCGTGTAGCTCGACTGCGGACTGACCTCCGGCAGGCAGGCCAGCTGCTCGCGCTGCAGCCCCTTGATGACCTGCCCCTTGAGCCGGGCCGGCTCCATGCACTTGGGCTCCTCCGCCAACGGCGTGTTGAAGTTCACCAGCCACGAGTGAACGTCCAGCAGGCGGCAGTCGCAGTTCCAGCGATTGCTGTGCAGACTGATGCCGTGCAGGGACTTGGGCAGGATGTGGCTGCCCTGGATGAAGCCGATGCGGTTGCCGTCGAGCCGCAGCCACTCGAGATTGTCCATGCCCACGAAGGCCTCGTTCTCGATGCGCTCCACCTGGCAGTTGGACAGCTCCAGGGTGGTCAGGAACGACAAGTGGCGGAAGGCCGACGTCTTCAGCTCCCTGATCGGGTTGCCGCTCAGCGAGAGGCGCATCAGCGAGCTGTAGTCCTGGAACGTCTCGCTCGGCACGTGCTGCAGCGCGTTCTCGCTGAGGTCCAGCTCCACCAGGTTGGTCAGCCCCCGGAAGGCCTTCTCGTGTATGCGGATCAGCTGGTTGCGCGACAGATAGATCTTCTGCAGGTTGAGCAGGTCCATGCGCAGGAAGCGCTCCGACTGCAGCACCTGCAGCGAGTTGCCGCTGAAGTTGAGCACCTGGGTGCCCGGATCCATGCCCTCCGGTATGTTGGCCAGCTGCTGGGCCCCGCACTCCACCGTCTGCTTGCCGCCCTTCCACTTGCAGATGCAGACCTCCGGCGGGCAGCCGGCGACGCTGGTCACGAGGAGCAGCAAAACCACAAATGCTGCAAAAGACATTCTGTCTCTCTCTCTCTCTGTCTCTCTTTGAGTTTAATTTTTCAAGAACTCTTTGGATTTTTTAAGTATTTTCCTTCAGGGATCCCGCCTGGTCACGTTTGCCTGTCAAAAAATATGGCTTGGAAGCTCTGCCGCCAATATGATTAGCCCTCACAGTGTGGCAGTTGCTTTACTAGAACGTTGATCGGACTCTTGTCACGTCCTCCAGCCGCCAGCCGCGTCTGTCTCTACGCGACGGGCGTCGCCGCTCCGTTGCAAGGCCCGCATTGTGGCTGCGTCGCCATTATATTCAGAGTGATGCTCATCATTGTCCTGTCCTTGTCAGTTTTGTCATGGCTGCCACTTGTACTCCTTGTACAGCCTTTCCTTTTGTATTAATTTCATAAAAATGCCAGCCTCTTGATTTTTTCCCCTGACAGCGCCCAGAAGTAGGCAATGGCTTTCGCTATTGTCGCCTCTTGCGGCGTTTCTCTCCTGTGTCTTGTGGTTTTTCTGCCTTTCTCCTGTCTGTTTTTCTGCCTTTCTATTTTCCTTTTCGGGGGGGGGGGAGGCCCTGTCTCCGATGGCAACGTTGTCTCACTGATGGCAAAGAGAGGCTTTTGTCCTTAATGAAATTATAATGTAATGCATTTCCTGTTCCTGTTCCTGTCGCTGCTCCTGGGGACACTGCAAGAAAATTAAACACACCATCAAAGAGGGATTAGTTGAGGGCTAAATTTTGAATATAAATATATATGAATATATGCCTCGCTGGCCATCCTGTTTTTGTTAGAAATATTAAACAATGTCGAAGCATAAATTACAGTGCGGTCGAGATAATTTATTCCCGATAATAAAGCCATTCGATTGGCCTACAATCGTGTGCAATATATCCACGATTGGACACAATTATTCAGCTTAAAGTGAGTCTGTCTGGGTGTCTCTCTCTCTCTCTCTCTCTCTCTCTCTCTCTCTGTCTGTCTGTGTGAGTGTTTGTTTTCTTGCATAATGAATCGGATTGCTCGATTTCATCCGCAACGACAACAATCTCATTACGGTACTTTCCCCCCCCTGATATGCAAATACTTATATGTCTACCCCCTCTGGCCCCCCTCGATGAAAGGATAATGGCATTTCGAGCATTGGCTGTGTAAAAAATTGAGCCGCAATTGTCGTGGCTTTAATTGGATGTTATTGCAATTATTTGCTTGCCCTATTAGGGGCACCTCATTATATTCCACCTTGTCCTTGTTATTCATATTTATTCACCGCAGACAGCTGTGTGGGCGGGGGGGCCGAAATTTATATTTGTCGAAATTAATCAAAGGACTTTAGGCAGGCAAAAACAAAAGACAGAGCAGCGCACAACCAAAGACAATGGGCCGTGACAGGCGGGCAATAAACAATTGGGGAATGTCGGGCATAAATCATGCAACATATTGCATTGTACCGCCGCACAGAGCCTCTAGTTAAATAACAAATAAATTACAGTAAAATTAAGTTAAATGCAAGTTTATTGTGCGGACCAAGAGATTACTTGGGGGGGTGCCTGCCATAAAACAAAAGCCCCCACCAGATCTGCGTAACCATAGCCGAATAAAAAAAAAAGATGCCAGCCGTGGCCGTGCCTGACAGCCTGACAGGCTCTAGAATTTCCGTTGAAGACCAGTCTGGCGCCAAATGCAAATACCTAATGGATAGTCGTATGCCTGGGCCAACAAATTGACTTGATTTGCTGCCCAGGGGCCCACCTGAAGACCTGCCTTTTGGGCATGGAGACATTATTAATAAGCAAACATTAATCATTGCGAGGGTATTTTCTATGGCCTCAGACCCGGCCGCAGCTGCCTTGGTCCTTTGCCCAAATGTTTTGGTGCTTAACAAGTAATGGAAGTGAATCCCCGGACAGGTGGTCATGCATCGAGCCCGAGTCCTGGACTTGACTTGCCAGGACTGCCACAATGTTAATTACAGAAATGTACAAGAGCCTACTTTGAATGGATTATTATGGAGCTATATAGACCATATAAATGTTTATTATAATTACTGTAATCCGAGCACAATAGAGGGACGGCCTGTTGGCCGTGTCTCCCATTGGAGATCCCCAGAATTAAGTATTTGCCATATTCTTCTCTACACAATTTATAAGTAATGAAAATGTATTTCCTTTTCGAATGCCCACAAAATCAATCTCCAACTATAAATACTATTTGCCAGTCCTCTGGTATAGCCATTAGTTTTCTTACTAATTGGAACATTTGCCTGCCATTTTCTGTGAATTTAAGTTTTCATTTTGCAGAAGGCAGTTTTTTTTTTGTTTTTAAATTAAATTTTTAGAAATATTCCAATGCAGAAGCACGAAATATTCTCATTTGCTTGGCTTGTCAGCAAAACATTTTTTGACATTTTCATTTGTCAGTTATGAAGCAGGCAGAGAGAGAGAAAGAGAGAGACAGACAGACAGACAGACAGTCTGCGGACTGACAGTCAAGTCAGATGGATAGATAGATGTGTGGAGTGGAGTATCTGTGTGGGTGTGTGTGTGTGTGTGGGTGTGGGGGTGTGTGTGTGTGCACATTTGTTATATCCTTATCACAAAATGATTTGACAGTCGAGACCAAGAGGCATTTGAACTGGCTTCCTATGCGAGTAACATTCTCTCGGCTCCTATCCCACTTTTTTCCTCTAAGGCTCTTTCTCTCCGTCCCCTGTCCCCTGTCCTCCCTTTTGTATCTGTATCTATCTCTTTCACTGCTGGCCTGTCTAGAAGTTTTTCTATTTTGTGTGATTTAATAAGATGACAAGAACGAGGAAGCCTTGGGCAATTTGAGAGATTTGTTCAAGCTCTCTACTGGCACTGGCACTGGCTGTAAATAGATAAATATTTATTTTATTTTTGCACATGTCCCATGTCCTGTCGGACTCCGGCATTGACACGTCCCCTAAACTGCTGTCATTGGGCATAATTTCAATTTCAATTTCATTCCATTGCTCTCTACCTCTAGTTTGGGCCAGTAAAAATCAATGGGCCTTTCACTCGCAGACAAATGAAAAGTTTATAAGAAATTCATTGCGTTATCGGGGTCATGTCGATTCCTTTGAATTATTGATGGACTTGGACAGGAAAACGATTTGTAGGGATATAGGGATGTAGGGATGTGCTGTAATTAGCTAAATACCTGAATCACAAAACACTTGAAACCTCAAGATATCCGTTTTCTCTGTCGTCAAAGTAAATGCTTAAGCAGCCCAACTAAACTGCCGCCTAATAAGCTTAAACTTAATTAAAAACTTATCAACGGGTATGCCAAACGGCAATTTGGCAGGCGCTTCAGTTGCCTTTGGCAACGCCACAATGAAAATCAGCCACAGAGCACCGCCACCCCACCACTACAGACCACAAAGCCAAGTGGCGGCCTCGCCCCGTCTCGCTCTTTCGCTCAGCCAACCGAAATAGTAAACAACTTTGGGAGATTTTTGACGGGCTGCAGTACCTGGCACTCGAAAAACAGTGGGTACACCCGATAAAAAAAAAACGATTCAAGGCGGGGCTTGTGGTATCTTCGAGAGGAGGAAGACAAGCAGTATTTTCGTGTCAAATTAATAGAAATATGTATGTGCGGTTTCTATTACAATTCGAATCTGTTCCCATTGCAGACTCCAATCACTCTCCGAGCCTTGCCGAACTATTCCTCTCCGATACTCACTGTGTGCAACGCAATTATGAGTACAGTGGTCGGTCTTTCTCTTTCCAACGCATACACATTGCAGCAGAAGCACACGCTCAACGCGCGCTCTCTTCATCTCGACGCTTTTGATCCTCTCTGAGCGAGTTGTCGTCTCTCTCCCAAACACCCACACAGCAATGGGACAGAAACTGAACGCGAATGAACAAGCACAGCAATAGTCCAGGCAGTGGACAGTAACCAACGGTAAATGGTAAAGAAGGCAACGAAAGGGCACCCTGCGAACAGAATACACTGAGAATAATGTTAGGAACCGACATGTACCAAAAGACTCACACAAGTCCCCTAACTTCAGTGCCTTCCAAAAAGGGAACTAAATTAAATTTCCACCAAAAAAGTAGCTCTACTTTTTAAGGCCTTGCAATGAAGTCGTCGCGCCTGTTTCGCTCTCGACCGGAATTGGTCATGCAATCCGGGGAACTTCAAAGTGGCGCTACGAACATGTCATAACATGTGAAAATTAAAATTTACAACACAACTTAAGCGACGTCCTGGCTGGGGCTCTTGTCCCGGCTGGTCGCCGGGGGGGGCCGACCCCCCTCCTCGCCTTCTTTTTGGCAGGCCGAGCACTTAATTTGGCACATTGCCGTGCATATTCTGGCCGGGCCCAAAGCCACTGAGTCGACGACAACAATCCGCTCAGGTGCAGCCACAGTGGCGACAACATGGCCGTGCGGGGCAGGGATACGGACACGGACATGGACAGGGACAGGGACCAGGACAGGGACCGGACCGGACCGGGCTGGGCTCCATTTTGTTGTAAAATGCATGCATTTTTTACAACCCGCCAGAGCTCTGGCATAGCAGCAGCAACAGAAATCGCAGCAATGGTCATAAAACTTATACCTTTCCCTACGAATTACGAGCCCGCAACTAGCCGCAGAGCGCGGGGGGTTGGTGATGGGGGCACTCCTGGGCGTGGCAGCAAATAAAATTACGCATGCAATGGCAAAATAAAATATGCATCAGAAATAAGCTGCAGCTGAATCCGAAAGGTGCAAAAAATGCCACAAAAAAGCACAAGATTGAGCGACCAAAGCGAGTGGGTAAACCCTGGGATACCCTGTAGTCAGGGTAGCCAGAGTCTGAGTGGAACATCTGTAAGATTTGTCACACATTTTAATTCATATTTACTATATGTTTTAGTCGGGCAACGTAACGATTATAATTTTTATAGAAAAAAGTTTATGGCATAACTTTTAAATTTTATGTTTTAATTTTTATATACAAATTTTGATA